TCTTCTGTCTCCTATTTCTTTGTCTCCTTGTCCTGCATCTTGCGCCTCATTTTGTCCATCTCCGTCTGCCGGTCTTTCATCCGTCTCCCAAAAAAGCCTCTTTTCTTTTTTTTTAAGTCGAGGCAGATGTTCTCAAGGATTGTTTTGTTGTGCTCTAAATCCTGGATCCTGGTGATACGGATCTTATTTTCCTGTCGGATCTTAAAGATCAGGAAACCACTGCTTGTGACCATCTCGTGGTGGGTATCCGCTTGGCTCTTTTTAAAAGCAGCCAGAGAATCCCTCTGTTCTGCTTCCAACTGCTGCCAGGTCTGGTTGTTGACCGTGAGTTCAGCACTTTTGACAGAAAGTTGTTCTGTGGTCTCGGTGAGCTTCAGAGATAAACCCTCGTTCTCCCTGATAGTCTCATCCAGAGCCTCTGTCTTGATGTTTAGCAGTTTGTGTTCTGCTTCCAACTGGTGGTTGTTGGCCTGCTGCTTGTGCAGCTCCTCTTTAAGAGAAATGTTGGTGGAGAGTAACCCTGTTACTTTAGACTCCAAGGACTGTTGTTGGTTATTCAGTTCCTTGAATGTCTTTTCCTCCAGATCTTTATATTTCTGCTGCCAGGTCTCGTTGTTGACCGTGAGTTCAGCAGTTTTGACAGTGAGTTGTTCTTTGGTCTCGGTGAGCTTCAGAGATAAACCCTCGTTCTCCCTGATGGTCTCAGCCAGAGCCTCTGTCTTGATCTTCAGCAGTTTGTGTTCTGCTTCCAACTGTTGGTGTTTGGCCTGCTGCTTGTGCAGCTGCTCTTGAAGAGAAACGTTGGTGGAAAGTAACCCTGTTACTTTAGACTCCATGGACTGTTGTTGTTGATCCAGTTCCTTGAATGTCTTTTCCTCCAGTTCTTCATATTTCTGCTGCCAGGTCTGGTTGTTGACCGTGAGATCAGCAGTTTTGACAGTGAGTTGTTCTTCTGTCTCTCTGAGCTTCAGAACTGAATGGTTGTTCTGCCCAATAAGATTCTGGACCTGGATCTGGTGGTCTGAAAGCATTGTTTTGTGCTTGCAAACCATCTGATCAAAGGCCAGATCTTTGCCTTCTGACTGGCGGCACAAATTGGCCTTCTCAGTTTCAATGTAGGCATTGAGGTCGCTCACTTGCCTTTTCAGGCAGTGCACTTCATTGTTGGCTCGAGAAAGTGCAATACTCACATTGTATACAGTCGGAGGACGTCCAGGGAATGAAGCGCCAGCTCCAGCTCTCTGGGTGTTTCCGCGGTACATGGTGAATACTTGTGTAGTCTTGAAAAAGACTGTTGGACAGCCCTGAAAAGGGGTGTAGTCTTGAAAAAGACTGGTGTTTTATTTGTCGCTAAATGACTCGAGGTAACCTTTGAAAAATGGGTGTATCTTCCAAAAAACTACTTAAGTCTGTAAAGGACAAATATCGCAGATACTTTCGAGAGAAAATATCCTGCACTCTTCTGGAACCAGAAACGCAATGATCTAGTGTTACATCCAAACCCATTTTGTGTAATTGTATATATATATATATATATTTATGAAAGACCTCCACCAGAATACATTCAACAAGGTTTAAATCACATCAACAGAAATAGAAGTATTACAAATTACGATCATGGTTATAGCAAAGCAGACTGGAGACGAAGTATATATAAAAAATGTTAAGCAACCATGTGTGTATGAGACATTTTTCACAAGTGTTTCTAACAACATGGAGGCTGACTCTTATTCTCAGTCTGTCTATTAGGACGGCCTCACAGTCTTCTGTTTTTAATGATAAAAGAATACAATTTACCACTAAAGTCAATAGCAGGCCAAAATAGTTACAGATAACACGAGGAGGTAAGGAAGTTCCAATGATGCAAACCAAGGTTTTGTGTTAGTTTCTTATGTGTGTGAAGTGTGTCTCACTATGGAGAAACACAGATGTTATGGATCATCTTCTCTAAATACAGTTTCTGATTCAGATCCATGAACGCAGCTCCCATAATCTAACTTTGATCTTAATGCAGCTACATAACACATCTGACCCTACGAGGATCATTTTACACACTTTTAAAGGGTTCTCTTCATGAATATAAATATTGTATATTGCATTCAATTAGAATTAGAACAGTTTTTCATTGCACCTTTAATGTGTTGCTGTCCTCAACCTGCGTTTCCTCTTGGCAGGAACAGACAGCTAGCTTATACTTTCCTTTATGAATAAAGATGAACTACCAGCCTTGATTTTCATATGTGTAATGTTTTCATCCTCTGCAGTCATTCATGCCGGATTGATCATTGTCAAACTGGAACAGACAAAACAAAGGGTACATAAATACCACGTAAAACAACGTGGCATCAGGATAACATGACGCATATACACGTATACAGTATATTATATATACACATACACACATATAAATTGAAGAATTTACATTTGCCTGAGCACCTCTTTCCCCCATTTAAAAACAACTAATATTATAAATATATTAGAAAAATGATCGGTGGTTTATGTTTCCCCTTAGAATTTTCTGGAAAACAGCTATTATGGAAGAGGCTGTTTTGGGCCCAACTACCAAAGTAGTCAGAGCAAGGACCTGTTGTCTTTCTAACATATACAATAAATATTAGCCAGTTTTAAATGGGAAAGAGAAGTGCTCAGGCAAATGTAAATTCTTCAAAATGTATAATTATATATATATATATATATATATATAGTCCTATATTAGTTCTACTATATTATGCCATATCAGTGTTTCCCGCAGGTTCACAACTATGGGGGGGCGGACATACCGGAGGGTGCTGATGACACCGCAGTGATAGGACGCATCACTGGGGGGAATGAAGAGGCATACAGGAGGGAGGTGGCCAGTTTGGTGTCATGGTGCGAGGATAACAACCTCACCCTCAACAATGACAAGACCAAGGAGCTGATAGTGGACATGAGGAAGGAGAGGAGACCTCATCAACCACTTTTCATCCAGGAGCTTGAAGTTAAGCGGGTGAAGTCGGGGTCCAAGTCGGGGTCCACTTCAGCGAGGACCTCACCTGGACACTCAATACAACGCAGCTGGTCAAGAAGGCTCAACAGCGGCTGTACTTCCTGAGGAGGCTGAGGAAGTTTGGGATGTCTCCCAAGATCCTCGGCAACTTCTACAGCTGCATCATCGAGAGCATATTGACCAGCTGCATCACCGTGTGGTACGGCGGCACATCCACAATGGACCGCAAACGCCTGCAGAGAGTGGTGAGGACAGCGGGAAAAGATCATCAAGACCCCACTGCCCTCCCTGCAGAGCATCTACCACCGCAGGGTTCACAGGAGAGCTGCCTCCATTCTCAAAGATCCCACCCACCCCAAACATGGTCTGTTCACGCTTCTACCCTCAGGCGGGAGGTAAAGAAGTGCCAAATGCAGGACCACCAGACTGAAAAACTCAACAGCTGAGAGGACTCTAAACTTTTTTCTCTGGGGGCCACATTATCGTTCCTGACTGTGATGGGGTGCCAGGGCCGGGTCAGCTATATAACAAAGAATTGTATGACCCAGATCAAAATGACCACTAGCAGGCATAATTGTGTAGTAGAGATTACTAGCCTGGCACAGCCATCCCCACTACTATATCCACACTACTATATCAACACTTGATTCCTGGCACATATTTTTATCTTTACTAGTGGTTTGCAAAAGTAGTATTCGAGTCTTCACACAGATATTCCATTTATTTATTTTCAAATAAAAATAACATCAAAGCTGTCAAGGTGAGAAACATCTGCCTAGTTGAGGTGATTGACACTGGCAAAGGTGAGTGAAAAATTCTAAATTATAGGTAGGCCTGTTGATATTAATAATAATTGTGTGCAGCACTTAATAAAGGTCAAATAAATAGGCCTATCAAATAAATAAAACATTGAAATTATAATAACATGAATAATAGAACAACTAGCCAGCTCTTATGCCTATCCAGGTGAGCATGTTCAGTAAACATTTTTTAGGTCAAGGTGAAAATGAAATGAGCAGTAGGCTCAAAACTAAAGCACAACCATAATACAGAATATTCAGGGTTCATACACATGTTAACCAATACTTTTCCATGACTTTTTGGCACATTTCCATGACTATTTTGATTAATATGTGCGAGGGAAACAGAGCAAGACAGCGCTTAGTTTGGAGACGGTGAAGGCTCCGAAGAGAGAGAGTGACCGCCTGCTAGAGGAGCAGATCACTTTAACGTTACATGCCGGTCACATCGTCTCTAAACAGTCCGCTCACAGTGAAGTCCTGCGCGGAAGTTTTTTTTTTTTAAAGAATCCACCAACACCGCAAAACATTTTGGCACAGAGGGAAAAAAAGTCTGCGAGTGACAGTACAATTACAATTTGGAAGTAACTTGCCAACACTGTCAGCATCGACTTCGCCTCAGGCAACATCGCAACAAGTGAGTGAATCGGAAGTGAACTGAACGTTATGCCATGACGACTTTTGGGGATTGCCTCATTGGGCCGGTTCAAGTAGTGGGGGGCAGAGGGGTTGGGGGGCCAGTCAAAGGGGGGTGGCGGGCCTGAGTCGGCCCGCGGGCCTGAGTCGGCCCGCGGGCCTTAGTTTGGTGACCAATGCTCTAGTATTTAAGACTAATACACTCAGTGTGCATGCAATCATCTGTGTCTGATAAATCATGCCAAGGGCAGATTGTAATGGTTGATGCTAAAATTGTTGGGACAATTGGTCATAATTAGACATTGTTAACACTTATCAAGCTATTATACATTGTGAAATGGTGGGATGAACCACACTATTGACAGTGATGGAAAAACGTGCTTTTTAAGTTTATATTTCTTAAGGGATCAAACTGTACTGATAAAGAGAGTGAGAAGAGAATCACGTAAAAATGACATTTGATAGTCAATTTTACTTGTTTTCTTAATAGCACCATCAGTCATTTTACGTTTTCAATTCGATAATATTTTGTTTCCGGTCAGACAAATTGGTTCCGCTATGGTTTGTTTCCTCACGGTGATCCTTTAGCAAACACCGTTCTACTTCCTGTTAGAATTCACACACAAACCACAGAAGCTAAACAGTTGTTTCAGCTTTCGGACCACAACTATTAATGTAGCAAAAACGCTGTTGGAGAACAATGATTCCGTACACGGTCAACATCAAACTCGCGGCTCGGACGTTGACTGGCACTCTCAATTTGCAGAACAAAGCGGCTGTAGACTGGTGAGTAGTGCCCGTCTTCCGTTAGCATCACGTAGCAGCTTCACGTCCCCGGGACGCGCTGAGTGATGACAGACGCGCCGTCAGCGGACTGTTGGTTCCGTGGCATGCGTTTCATCGCGCTGTCCCCCTGCGTGCTGCCTGCGATGACCGCAGTGCTAACCGACGGCCACAGCGTAGCTTCCTCTCAGCGTCGGGGAGGCTGCTGTCACGTGATGTGCGGTGACAGTCCGTGGGGCCTGGTGGGTTTCCTTCAACCCTCACCTCTCCAACGGAATCCAGTGGGGTGTTCCTTTAGGTCGTGGCATTGTTTGTAAAACAAAAACTAGGTTTAGCCAGACCTTAATTATTACTAATTCATCAAGTGTTACTCCTGATGCACCTCACTGCATTCCTCTTCTTCATTAGAAACGTTCAGTGTAGCTCTTCTGATCCATATTCTGTGTCTGCAACAGCCGCTGTAGAATAAGGTCCAGCCACATTGCAGATATAAAGATATCCTATGTGCACAGATTGGATTGAGGATCATTGATGTCGGCTTGTAGAATATAATGTTTGATTTCACGTCGGAATTTAGCTTCGTAGGGTGTTGAGCTCCTTATAGAGCATTAGTATTTCAGTCCGGTCTGAATGATCAAAGGACGGGTCTAACAGGCTGAACATTTCATCAAAGCTCACCAAACAGGGAAATGCTCACGATGATTAGTTTTCCATTACTGGCCACTGATGATGATGGTTTAAGGGACGGCCTACTTTAGATTTCCTTTGATCACTTAATGTGTCCTTGTATTTTATTATGTGTATTTGTGTACCTGAGGCTGTGCGTGTGTGTGAGACTGGTTTTATGCCTCGGTTGGCAAATTTCCCCTCAGCAACAATGAACTTCTCTTGGAGACTCACAGCGGCCGAGTGACTCACCTGCTCTTCCTGTCATTCTGTCTGACTTTCAACTACTAAAGGGGTTGGCAGGGGCTGATTGCTCAGGGATGTCACTCCAGCATTCTCATCATCGATCCAAAGACGTCTCAGACCATCCAGGTGTTGGAGAAGCACAAGGCTAATGTGGTCAAGGTGAGTGTCCTCAGTGGGTCTTTCATCGTCACAAGATTTACATTCTTTGAATATGCTCTTGGTTTTTTTCTATTTTCAAATATAAAACATTGTCTATAAAGTATCAGAAACCTGCCCAAAACCGCACAATCCAAAGGTCAAAGGGAGAAAAAGGAAAGAGCAAACCTTCCTATTTGAGAAGCTGTAAATAGCAAATTCTGAACACTTGGATGTTAGTTATTAATTGATAAGTAGTTATAATCATAATAATAAAGTTGATTTATATATTACTTTTCAAAGCTTACAAAGTGCTATTAGAGATATAAATGACAGAGAAAAAACAACAATGTTTAAAATAGTTTAGAAATGTGAAAAATATGTAAAAAAGTAAAAGTAATTTAAATAAAAGTCAAGAAAATTCTTCAGTAATCATTTTACTTAATTATTCTGCTTAACGTATTATACATCTTTTTTAAGTTTTTCATTCTCTTCTGTCATCCTAAATAGAATTTTGTAAAGATTCACGCTACAATTCTCAAGCTAGTAAAGCTGCAGCTTAAACCGGTTCCACCCGAGGGGGGGGGGGGGGGGGGCTAAAGGCCGCCCGAATGATGAAATCCAGATATCAACGGGGATATCATGTTCTCATCACGAGTATATGAATGCTTCACACCGTTCCAAACATTAGAGTCTCTAGAGGCTACAATATGCACTTACCAGTTTGAAAATAATCCAGAAACACAACTCCCAACAGGTTTCTGGGCCGTGAGGCCTTCACAAAAGCCTCCTCTAACAACGTGGAACTTCATATGTGTACTGCACACACACTGGGCTATCACGCAGATGTGCTTTTAGCCTGGTATCGCCACGTTTTCTGGGACTTGGAGGGCTGTTAGTGGTTTTATTTCAGGGGATTGACAAAATCTGAAGGGTTTTTGTTTGTGTGTTGTATTGATTTATTTATTCTCCGGTATGTTACTGGAGAAGAAATTAAACAGATTTTTGCACGTCAGAACACGCACAGGGTTCCTCTTTATCCCCACTGAAGAAAAAATGTCCCGATAGAAAATTAAGGTAGAGTTCAAGTTGTTTCATGGGTATGACATTTCCAGAGCGCCCTGCGTGTACTGAGGCAGGGAGAGGTTGAGAAGGCCACAAACAAATAGGTTGACAAACATTGCAAACACACACCTGCTGAGGTTGTCGTATTTCATCACCCTGTCAACACTTGTGTAACCTTGAGCTAAGTTGTCGCCCCCCCACGTTCAGCTCTTCTTCCCTGTGTGAAGGTTGCTCCTGTGTTGGGTGTGTGTGTATGTTTAATTCCTCTCGGTTTGGTAGAAAGTAATGGGCAATAAATTCCATGGTGGTTATCGGTGGAGGGCCAATCCTCTGCTGCAGATGGCAAGACGTGGATGTAACGTTTCTGCGTCTGATAGGTGAGATGGTCGAGGGAAAACTACTACCACAACTTGAGCTCTCCCTACTGTCTGCGGCTGGCTTCGGGCGACGCCTCGGGGAAGATCATCGTGTGGGATGTGGTCAGCGGCACCCCCCATTGTGAGATCCAAGAGCACTCCAAACCCATCCAAGGTAAGAGACCATTGTGGGCCTGGATTGAGTCCTTATCCATGAGTACTGTGGATGTAACCCTGTCGTTGGTGGATTTGTTTTCATGATGGGACTCTATCCATCGTCCCTCATTACGCCCGTGTGGTCTTCATTCGCTCACCCTCTTCCTCTTCTCCGTCTTGCCCTTCCGCCACCAGACCTGGAGTGGCTGTGGAATCAGGATGCGTCTCGTGATCTGCTGTTAGCCATTCACCCCCCCAACTACATCGTCCTGTGGAACGGAGACACGGGCACCAAGCTGTGGAAGAAGAGCTACGCGGAGAACATCCTCTCCTTTTCCTTTGACCCCTTTGACTCCTCCAACATGGCGTGTAGGTGAACCACACTGACCGTGTGTCCTTTTTCCCCTCCCACATAGATGCATCGTGCCTCTACATAGTACAGTACTGACAGCTGTTACAAGCATAGGCTTCTTCATCATTTTGTTAACTCTCCTTGGCAGTGCTGACCAGCGAAGGAATAGTCTTCATCACCGATTTTTCCCACTCCAAACCACCGAGCAGCGCCGGCAAAAAGGTCTACATCGCCAGCCCCCACGCTAGCCCCGCCCACAACAAGCCCGCCCCCACCGCCGCGCCGGTCCCCACCGGCGCCAAAAAGGCCCTCAACAAGGTCAAAGTGCTCATCACCAACGAGAAACCCACGTAAGTCCTGACGTGCGATCACATTGACTGCGCTTTGAAAAGCCGTCCATAGATCCGTCAGCCCACCTGCGCGTTGGTTTGTCGGGTTGCCAAATATACACTTCTTTTGTTCTCTCTGCAACTCGTGCTGCTCCTCCTCTGTTCTCCGTTAACTGACGTGCTGAAAGTGAACCCTGACACCTTGTCTGTTTGGGGGGGATGATGTGTATGTCTGTCACGCCTGAGGCACCTGACAGGGGGATCCATCAGACGCTTCCTGAAGAGAATGATGACATGACAGCCTTGTGGAAATAACAATGGGCCTTGGTTGAGCCGGAGAATGTTTCCTTTCGCTAAAGGAGGGTTGAAGCTATTATTGTGATTGAGCCTATTTATTCGGTGATAACTCAAAGCGATGTGACGGATGTTTTACGGCTCTGCATCTTTTTCACTACCGCGACTCATAAGAAGCAGTGACTAACCTCATTTTTAAGCCATTAAGTCTCAAACTTGCGAAATCGCATAAGTCGTGCTTTTCAAAAAGTTTCAGTGGGAACCTCAGCCAGCTCTGTGTGTCTGAGACACCTTCTGCCTGCTGCTTTTTCGCAATGTGTGTATTTGACCCCAGAGAATGCTGTATTCCATCAGTCTGCCTTTGTGTGTGTCTGCGGTGTTCATCATGTTGCAGCATCTCTCTTTAGCCCTTTGTTCTTGCGCTTGATGGTTTGACACAAGATAAAAGAATATGGAAAATAATTAATATTTAAAATGTGACGCTAATAAGAGAACCTTTTCAAACTCTGAAATGTACCCAGCTATTATATGGGTTTGTTTGTGCTTTTTTTTGTGCGTTATGAGAGTTTGAAGTTTTGTTTTATCTTTTTTGTGCCGACTGGCACCTTTCTTAGCTGGGGCAGGGAGGAGGGGGGGCATGAGCCGCTCAAGCTGAAGTGACTAAATGATGTACAGTATCTGGGCTGAGGGAATAACTGAGTCGGGGTCTGAGCTGAGGTCATTTAGGTTCATTGAACATTGTCAATGAACACGCTGCTCCGGTCTGTGGTGGCGTGCACTCACGTGTGTCTCCGTGTAGCGGTCGGCACATCTCCACGGCTTGTTCAGAGCAGCGACAGAGTGATACGTGAGTGATTTTTTTTTTTGGTAATTGCACAGCTTAATAGCTTGAGTTTGGGGCCAAGCGACTTTCTCCTTTCTTTCGTCGTTTCTGACCCTTTTGCCGCTTTGCCTGACTTCAGTGAGCTGGTGTGATGAACAGTGTGATTTACCTCAGCGGGTCCTGAAGCCCCTCCCCCCTCTCTAAGCGGATAATGTTCTCGGTCATGTTGTAAAGTTCGTCTCTCCTCATTTCCTCTCGCCGTGACTCCGGAGGAATGAAGCTGTTATTTCCCGGGCCACTGCTCATGAACCCCTGTTCCGTCCCTCCTGAATGGAGGGTTGACACCTGGCTGCTGGCATGCATGGCAGGCTCTGCAATTAGTTCTCAATCGCAACAGACGGAGCTTAACGTGTTTACAAAATAACAGAAGGGATTTCTGATGTCTGACGCTTAAATCATCTATTCGTCAAGAGACCGGACTCACTTCTCAGTTCCTCCTCATTTCCCTGAGACTCCCAGTAATAACACACTCAGTCTGCACGAGACGCCGTGATTAAAGATCATTTCATCCTCTAAACAAGACACTTCTTTCATCATTCATCCCATTGGTGTATTTGTATATCTCATATGCGCGTGTTTGTACGTCCCATTAAATCCTTGTGTTTGCTAAATGAGACTTATTTGTTTCTAGTCATTACAGTGTACTTTGTTTTGCCTCTTCAAACAGGCACTGTGTGCAGTATATTTAGTCCAAAACATTGCATTGCATTGCATTGTAACAAAACTAAAAACAGGCAAATTCAGGAATACATACGTTTATTGGTACACGGATAAATGTGCTCCGGGCTTTTGTCTGCGCTCACTGAAATGACCGTGACCCTGTGTGCAGAGCGGAGGCGGTGACGCTCAACGACTGCCTGCAGCTGTCCTACCTGCCGTCTAAGAGGAACCACATGCTGCTGCTCTACCCCAGAGAGATCCTCATCCTGGACCTGGAGCTCAGCCAGACGGTGGGGGTGGTGGCCATCGAGCGCTCCGGGGTGCCCTTCCTTCAGGTGAGACACCTGCACGCATGTAGAGGCCGAATCCGTGTATGCGGGACCTCAGCGAAGCTTCAATTTTGTGGAAATCACTCACAGAGAAAGGACCGACCCTAAACCCCAAAGGAGGGGCCTCAGTCATCATCCTTTTCTTGCTGCAGGGAAGGCGGTCCAATGCGCTTCCTACACGACCAACTTTCCCTCCCCTCAAATGAACCCAGTGCACAGTTTTGACTTTCATTACATTGCTCGAGGACTTTACCTTAACCTGTTTTTTTAGTTTTTTTTAGTATGGATGAATCTTCCGCGATGCAATCCCGCCTGCCATGATTGATAAAGTTCTCCACTTTTCATCCACCCTCAGTGCTTCTCATCAAGGTCTGACGACCGCACAGTGCAGTCCACAGCCTCCAGATTGTCTGAATTAGTTTCTATTGTCACATTCAGCAGCCCCTGGTGACCTTTAGGTGCCCGCCCCCTTTTTTTGGAGCCTGGGTTTCTAATGTGAAATTGATGAATGCTGTGGGAGTATTAGATGGAGGATTTGTTACGGCTGCAGAGGCAGTAATGGAACACAGACTATCTCTTAATGTCACCCTGTTAAGTCCCAATAAAGACCATTGCGGTGGCTTGTCGGGGCGCCGGGAGGTGTCACGGTGTTCACGGTGGGGGTCCTACTCTATTTGAGCAATAATATGCACTTGGAAATGTATACACCTCCAAGTTATGCCTGCATGCAAATGCATGGAAGAGGTTACTGCTCCTCAAGTTCATCACATCCGACAGTTTGTGTTTTGTTCTGTATTTTTATTGGCATAAATCTTACTTATTGGGGGTTGTCAGTGATCTTGTTTTGATAAATGTATCTGCGGTACGACGGTACAGAGGTGGAGAGCAAACCTTTTTGTAGTTGAGTAAGTCCTAAAGTCACAGAGCCGCAGTAGAGGGGCATTACTCAGCCGGCCCCCCTCCACTAAGTGTTACAAAGGACTTGTCACACAGCAATTTGCATAACTGATGACCCGGCTGCGGGGAAAGTCCAGGCCGGAGTGTTGAAGATCCAGGGAAGGACGGGGAAGCAGAGACACATCCATTCGCCACGCTGTCCCCTTTGGCCCGTACACAATGTTCACAGAGCTGTTGATGCTAAAAGAAAATGGAAAATGGCACGTAATTGCCACAACCCAAACTATGTCCTTCCATCTGAAATGTAATTATACACTGAGAATGATGCTTTTAAGTTAATGGCGTTGTTTCGTGCTGTTGGTCTTATGCACACAAACATCTCAAAGATGGATGACTCCTGCTTGCTTGATCCTTTTAGAGTGCAATGAGCTGGAATACTTTCATTATCACGTGTGATCTCAAGGTGAAGTGTTTAATCAACTCGTCGATAAACTATTTTCACAAGTGATTCAATAATGTCACAAAAATAGTAACATGAAGACGTTTTCTTGAGCTTAACATTTTTCACCATTGTCTAATGTTTGTTTTTTACCCGTATGTGATGCAGTGCTGAGAACCAAACCTTCAATCCTGCCTCCCCGCCTCTCTGTGTTCAGGTGATCCCGTGCGCCCAGCGGGACGCCCTCTACTGTCTCCATGAGAACGGGTGCATCACCCTGCGAGTGTGTCGCTCCACCATCACTCCAGACGAGGCAGCGGGTATGAGACGTGTGCACACACACACACACACACACACACACACACACCACTCACTCTCCTGGGATTTTACCCCAGTTTTCCTCTATCTTTCCAAGCTGCACTGCAGTCATCATCCTTCTTTCACGTTGCTGTTTATCTTTGGCTGAGTGGGATCGGCCAATGGGAGTCCATTGTTACCAAACCGCTCTTTTTCCATCCCTACTCTTTTCTCTCTACCCCTCATTTTCTTTCTTCCTATAGTTTCATTTTTAAGAATCATCGTTCCGTTTATGGGTACACCTGTTCTATTGCTTGTTAACACAAATTGATAATCAGCCAATGGCAGCAATTCAATGCATTGAGGCATGTAGACGTTGTCAAGACGACTTGCTGAAGTTCCAACCGAGCATCGGAATGGGGAAGAAAGGGGATCTAGTGACTTTGAACGTGGTTGTTGGTGCCAGACGGGCTGGTCTTACTGGGTCACAAACTGCTGATCTACTGGGAAACCATCTCTATGGTTTACAAAAAAGGAAAAGAAAGACTATTCAGACAGGCTCAGAAAAACTGAACAATAGAAGATTGGAAAAACGTTGCCTGCTCTGATGAGTCTTGATTTCAGCTGAACAATCAGATGGTTCAGAATGTCGGGTCAGAATGTGGCGTAAATGACATGAAAGCATGGATCCATCCTGCCTTGTATCGACGGTTCAGGCTGCTGGTGTGATGGTGTAACGAAAAATGTGAAGAGGTCCAGTTAGAGAAAATTTCAAGAAGCAAAGGTCCGGAAGGTCATAATGTAGTAGTGTGATTAAATAGAGAAATTGAGTTGTAACAAAATGTGCATTTAATCAATACACGACTAACAAATCAAATTAATTCAGTAGGATTTAGAAAAATTAAAATAACTGGAAGAAAAGCTTGAATTTCCCCTTTTCTGCTTCACATTTGACCTCGACAATCTCGCAAATTATAAATAATAAATCTTTTTTTACAATGTTTTTACCAATTGAACAACTTAATAGTGTGTTTATAACAGTGGTTTATTCCACTTAAGTGGAAAGTGGGAGAATTGAGCTCTACTTTTTTTACTTTTTCCTGCCAGGATGTTAAACCTGGTCTTAATGCATCAGGGCCGTTCTCCTCCTCATTGCGCCTCACAATGGCGTTTCATTGGGTTCTGGGCACATGACACACTGGTTTAGTGCTTCAGTGGTAAATATGAACAGAAACGAGTCCGTCCATTGAGGATTAAATGCTCTACTTTCGCTGTTCACTTTTCTCTTTTTGGAGAGCGCCATTTGTTCCTCATTTTTCTCACCCGTCCCTTTCTCCCACTTTCTCCGTCTCACTTGTCTTTTTCTCAAATTTCGCTATCTTTCTTTTCTTTTTTATAGCGTCTTTTTATTTGTCATTTGTAGTGATGTGTCGTTCGTGAACGATTCGTTCATTTTGAACGAATCCTTACAAGGACTTACGAGGAGTAACGAGTCCTCTCAAAGAGATATTTGTTAATTTTCTCGTGGCCGGGCATCGGGACTGTTGTATAGGCTCTGTCAAGGAAACCGAAATTATTCGTTCATTTCCCAACTGGGTCTTCGGGTACGAGTCTTTGGATCCTTTTCCACGTGACCTGCATTGGTTTAGTAGAGGAAGCAGTTACCTCATTCCCTTTCGCGTAGCCGCCGTTTTATATATCATTTTCAACTACGTGATGCTATCAAGTCAATATGGATTAACACCTTGTTGAAAGTATGTCACATATATTAAGGCAGTTCTGAAGGTGAAATGGGGTCCAAACGTTCACTAGGTGCACCTAATAAAGTGGCCGTTAAGTGTAAATATGCACTCTGTTCCTCTCATTTTCTCAACATGATGTTCGCCGCTCTTTCAATCCCACTCTTTGCTACTTGCCCTCTTCCTCCTGCTTATATTCCCTTTATTATAATCATGTACTCGATGGCTTCCTCCGTATTTCTCTTTCTGTCCCCTTCCATTTACCAATTTACTGATTCCTTTTTTCACTGCTGCGTCGCCTCCCTTAGCATATGTATGTGGAATTCGCTCCGGCAAGGTTGCAAACCCAGGGGAAACATTGTATATATTTGAATGTCTCGGTTTTCTCTCTCTGCCCCCCCCCTCCCCCTCTCCTCCAGACCCCGAGCAGAGCGTGTACGAGCTGATGTACGACCTGCGTTCCCAGTGCGACGCCATCCGAGTCACAAAGACAGTCCGGCCGTACCGCATGGTGATCTGTCCCGTCAACGAGAACAACGCTGCACTGATGGTCAGCGACGGCAGAGCCATGCTGTGGGAGCTCAAAGCCCACACCGGCAAAGCTGTCAATCCTAGGTACACACACACACACACACACACACACACACACACACAGATATCATTACATTTTTGTGGCATAACTAGCAGTGAGAGGTGACTCAAAGTTTGAATACTTTGAAAACTGACTTTAAACATAATCCCCTGACCTAAATTACATCTTTTAAGGAGGGGGGGGGGGGGTGCAGAGATGTTCAGCTATCGTTGATGAGCCCTGCTTCCCTTTGATGGAGCGCTCCCTGGCAGTCGAGGGAGACAGTTGTGTGTCTTGTCTGTGTAGCTGGCTTCCTGTGCGAGGCAGGGAGAGGTGTGTCTGCCGGCGCGCACCCACAGTGTATTTTGGGCAAACGAGCGAGCTCTCAGGATGAGGGACGGCACGCTTTGGCCGTTTGCCACTTTATGATGAATTATCTTGTTAAAGCCTTGTTTGAATGCATTGGCTCTGCAGGCTTTCTATTTCAGGACCACTGGAAAGATGTCCGTTGTCTTTCGTCCTTGCACTAAATCAATAAGCTGCTGCTTACGTGTGGTGGTTTTAACATTTTTGTCCCCTGACAAATCCTATGAAGGTGGCTGGGCCCAGGTTTGATACACTGACATGAATTTTAATTTCTCCGTCACATTCTGTCTTTGATGTTTGCGTAGTCGCGGTGTCGAGATAAATGTAATTGAAGTCTTGTACAGTGGAAAATGTTGCGCTGTTCTACCTGCTCAGTCTTAAGCTGTATAAGCTCCAACACAGCAGGCATGGAAATAAAAAAACATTCAAGCAATCATTGCTGTTTGAAAAACAAATCTGCCTTTTTAATCAATAACAAGAATCAGCAGACATGTCGTCCCTCGTGAATGCTGCTGCCTCCCTCTAGTTTAGTAATTATTAAAAGGTAGAACACATTCGTCATTGGCACAAGCAATATTAATTTGTTACTCTCCGGGCACAGAGCTCTCAAAATGTTTGTGATTAATAATCTCTCTCCCCTTCTTGTGTCAGCTCCGGTCTGTCGCCGCTCTTCACCCCGGTGTCATTTTGTGGGGCGCCGTTGGGTCTGAACCAGAAGACGATTCAGGATCTCTCCCTCAACAGCATGATCGGTGAGTTCCCTCATCACTGTCTGCCTTTTGGGATGCTCCCACTTTGGAGTCTCCGAGGCAAAATGGCCCACACCGGGGTTATTTTTGGGGGGATTCCTGGATCTATAAGGAGATATAGAGGAGTGTGAGTGTACGTGGCCCTCTCGTATCATCTAGATACTTCCTCTGCGCGCTACACAGGGCGGTCTCATTCCCTCGTCCGGGTCCGAGGGCCTCCTCCCTCTCCCTTGTTTTTCACCCATCTCGCTCTTTTGGTTATGATGTGTTTCCATCTCTCTCGCTCCTCCCTGTTGGTTTGGAACAGAGCTGCATGTCTAAAGAGGAAATTAGTTATAAATTAGTAATGAAATGCAGGAATCCGTTATTTTATAGGCCTTGGGGAGGTGCAGCACCAGTGGTTATGCTGGCCTGAGGGGAGAGCTGTCACACACACACACACACACACACACACACACACACACACACACACACACAGATTGCAGCTACTGCCCAGAGGCCGGGCTTGGTCTGACAGTTGGTGACTTAGGCTCCTGGTATGAGCAAACGTCATCGGCCTGCGGTTTCCAACATTTTTCTAAATGCGAGCTGAATGTTAAAATCTGATGCTGACCGGTTCACACGAGAAGGGAAGCCAGACGGATAACGGCGAGCTGATCATCGCCACGGGCAAGAGTTGCCTACGAGAAAACCGTGTTTTCCTTCGCTGCACATATTAATTGGTGGCAATTCATTGGAGTGATCTCATCTCATTATGTCCTAAAGCTGCAATGGACGCTCATGTAGAGGGACATTAAATGCCCAACGTAAAGAGGTCTATAATGGCCCAAGAAGCAAAAACTAAATGGATTTCTTCACCCAGTACAAATTCTAACTCTGAGGCATTTGTTTCACTAATAAAGGTGCAAATCCTTTTTCTCTGCAGAAAACAAACAACGCTCATTTAGTCTTTGCTATAAAATCCAACCCTCAGTAAAAATAGGCTGTGTTCATGTTTTGGGGAATATTAGGTTTGTATTTATGGTTCAAACAGATGTTACATTTTATGACTCCGATATTAGAATTCATGTTATATTATATTATATATAATATTATACGATATTGTGATGAAGTCTGCAAAGTGGATTTAATTAGCGAACTCCTCTGAAATACTGCCTTTGTGGCTTAATTGTCTCAGTTAACCATGCGTTCCTTTAGATCATTAAAGCAGCCTTCAATGAAATAAACAGGGTAGACTGTTTTCTGCTCGCTTCAGCCAGTCAAATAACGTGAGCTTCAGCAGGGTTCAGGTGACACTGTGTCACGCGATGACTCACCCCTGCACTAAATCAGGGCTCAGCGCCTGTCCCTCGTGTCCCACGTGTCTCCCTCCCTCTGGAGCTGTAGCACGGAGCGACATGTCAGGAGTTAATGCTGTCGGTACGTCGGATAGGACGTTTTGCTTCATGTGCTGCTGTTAGATTATCCTGACATGTTTTTGTAAGCCAGCTCTAAAAGAAGAAAAAGAGCTCTGCTGAAATGGTGCAGTCTCTTCCCAATGCACATTTTTGCAAATGTGTGACCCACTTCCCGCCACAGACAAATAGGGTTGCTACATCCTGTCGCCCTCTCTTGACTTCCAGGTCAGACGCTGATCGCCGGCGAGGCTCTCACTCCCACGTCCAACCAGCAGGAGGTCCAGCTGAAGTTCCTGCTGACGGGGCTGCTGTCCGGTCTGCCACTGCCGCCCTTTGCCCTTCGCATGTGTCCACCTCTTACCACCAAAAACATCAACCACTATCAACCCCTGCTGGCTATAGGTGGGTACCATCGCACACGCTACAAGACTCACTGAACAGAGGGGCACCTCCGCAAACGGATGGGGGTTCTCAGGGTCTAAGCCTCCAAAATCTGGATCTCAGATTTCAGACGAGCCATCAAATAGTTATACAGAACAATATTAAATGTTTCCTGATTGCCACGTAATGCCCATTCATATTAAAAGCTGTTGCATCTAAAACACTAAACAGATTTTTACAACTATCGAAGGATATGAAACTGTTTCCACATACACTGCATGAGGGGGGCGTGCCACTGCATTGCATTTACTGGGGACATTGATAAAAGTCTTTGGTCGACAGAAAGCCTCTGCAATCCGTAGGCTCAAGTATGTTGCTAACATTACCATGTCAGCCCATGACAGCAGCCCCATCTAAAGTGTCACATACCTGCGAACTTGCTTTTTCGGAAAAATTCATCCCTGGGATTCGTGTAGATCCAAAGAGTTGCAATTATTTGATCAAATCAAACATGTATATTACATTACATTACATTACATGTCATTTAGCTGACGCTTTTATCCAAAGCGACGTACAATAAGTGCATTCAACCATAGGGTACAAACTCAGGAGAACAAGAAACAAGAAAGTGCAATTTCCTCAAATAAGCCAATTTACAATTTGCTATAGATGAGTGACGTTACAAGTACAATTTAAGTGCTACAATTTGTTAGTCTTTAGTCGAGGTAGAGTCTGAAGAGGTGTGTTTTTAGTTTGCGGCGGAAGATGTGAAGGCTCTCTGCGGTCCTGGTGTCTTCAGAGAGCTCGTTCCACCATTTTGGCGCAAGGACAGCAAAGAGTCGAGACCTAGTCGAGTGTTTTGCTCTCAGTGAGGGAGGGACGAGCAGTTTTGCAGATGCAGAGCGGAGAGTGCGGGTTGGGATGTCGGGTTTGACCATGTCCTGGATGTAAGCTGGACCCGATCCATTCACAGCATGGTACGTGAGCACCAATGTTTTGAACTGGATGCGGGCGGCCACCGGTAGCCAGTGAAGAGAGCGGAGGAGTGGAGTAGTGTGGGAGAATTTCAGAAGGTTGAAGACCAGTCGAGCTGCTGCATTCTGAATGAGCTGCAGAGGTCGAATGGCGGTGGCAGGGAGACCTGCCAGGAGGGAGTTGCAGTAGTCCAGGCGGGAGATGACAAGAGCCTGAATCAGTACCTGCGCTGCCTTCTATATGTATATGTTTGCCCTAACCTGCAGCGCTATTCGTTCATGCAGATGTTGTTGTTGTGGGATATTCTCTGTGGCGATGAAGATGCCTTCTCTCCATTCATTTAGCTTCTGGGTCTCAAACCTCCCAAAGGCACACATGTGACACACTCAACAGCAAAGCGTGTTTTAAGAAATCATGACACGCTTACTCAGTCCTGCTCGTTTGGGTTTCTTCTGTCACGTGTCTCAGTGGTTGTCATTCATCGTGCCGTCTCTGCACAGATGGTTTGATTACTGACATGTTGCTGCACAGAGCATCCAGAGTGAAGAGTGCTTTTAATGGCACAGTGTGGGATGATTGTGCTGCTGCACTGGAAAGAGTAAACAGAGCAGAGCGAGCCCCGAATTTTTGGTTCATCACAGGAGACAAAATCAACGGCTACTGATGTGAAGGCAAGCATCGAGGCGAGCAGGCCATTACCTCGGAGCAACGCCGGCATTATTAAATATATCATTCACGCACTCTGTCACGGTGAACAAACGATGTGCCCATATGAACCCAATGTAGGTTTTAATTAAAATGTCTTTTTAAAGTTTTATTATTCTCTTCGACGTCCCATTCATGTAAGCTGTTGAGGTCGCGGAAAAACATTTTTGCAGTTGCAAATAGTTGTTAAACTTACCCACTCTTCCGTTGATTCGTTGCAAATTCTCAACTTTGAGTTTGAAAAACGTTTTGATAAAAGTATGCCAACATAAGAATGTAACAATTTTCTTTTAGTTTGGCTCTTTAAGGCCGAGTCTGTAAGTAACCGTCCATCCAATCTGACTTTTAGATTAACAAAGCCGTTCCCTTCAGAATCTCTCCTGTCCTCTCCACAGTAGTCATGCATGGAATTATGAAATTTTCAATTTGAATGACAAACTAATAGCTAGATTCAGTCGTGTGTGTGTGTGTGTGTGTGTGTGTGTCTCTCTATATCTCTCTATCTGTGTGTGCATTCTTGTGACGGCTGCGGCGTGCTGCTGTTCTGTTCCCAGCAAACCTTCAGGTTAGTTGTCAAGCTGAAGAATGGGCCACGTTCCATCTCCCTGACAGCCCCACAGATATAAATCGAATAAAGATCCGCCGCCACCCGCAGATGAGCAGATGAATAATAACACCTTGTCCCGTTTGTACTGGTTCTGCTTCTCACTTTGATACAACAGTGGGACGCGGAGACCGCTTAAGTTAAGTTCACAAAAATGATTACTAAATGACTGTAAGAGACCTCCAAGGCCATCTGTTATTTAAATGATCCGTCTCAGACATGTTTTGTTTTAAGTAAAACTTACAGGTGGCGCTACTTAAAAAATGAAATAACTCAACAAATACAAAAAACAACAACCGCCCTTCTCTCGAAGCAGCCATTTCAAAAACACTTTTCAGTGGCAGAGCTTTTTTTCCCCCTCAATCCCTTTGTGGATTGTGGATGCGGAGGGCAGTAGGAGCCCACTCTGCTACAGATGGTGTGTCCCAGCTGGCTCCCAATGATGTCCCGAAACTAGAACGAGGCAATTTACTTTGCACATCATTTTCAGGTCCCCGTAGTCAGTTTGCAAAGTCAAACCCTCTCCTTCGGAATTATCCAATTGTGCTTTTTGTTCCACTTTATGTGAGCCATGCTGTGAATAGTAAAATTGGGGGAATGGAAAATTATATTTGTGTATTAAGAGGATGGCAGATACCTGCTGCAAGGTATGCTTAAAATGGCATCTTCGGCTACTAGATTTAATTTCCAGCTCACGTCTCCTCTCTTGTTTACCAGAGAAGACACCTGATCATTGACTGCAGAGCTGGCAGCCGGGCCTCTTGGTGGCTTTTGTTTAGGTCTGCGTTGGGTTTGAGATGAACTCTACCTGCTGATGGTGTGAACGCGTTAGGTGGGGGGTGGGGGGGGCGAGTAGCCGGCTGCAGTTTCATTACAGTTCAACTTGCCATGTCCGTTCTTTCTCTTTCCGTGGCCGTGCGTCCCAGAAGCGGTCATCTGTGTGGGACCTGACAGCGCCATTACTGAGAGACACAAGGCCCACTGACTTGTAGACAAACACTGACAAGCTCACATCCATCCCTTTTCATCTGAGGGCGGCGTGCCTAAACATTAATATCAGCCCGCTATTCTTTGCTGTGTTGTTTGCTTCTGCATTAAGAGTGGAATAAAGTATCGGCACAAACATCACGTTGTGATTTGCTAAATGTGAGAAACCAGCAGTCTCACGCTGTCCTCGGTGCTGAAACCTTTTAGATTGAAGCTCAAAGGGCACCAACAACGATACGCTTTCTTCACCGTGTGCAGTGGCTTCTTTTGATCTGAGTCAAACGAAAGTCCACGATTTTCCATTTCACACCCGACCAGACACCAGACTGTATGGAGGGGCAGCATCTTCTTGATCACCATGATTCTAGACGCATGTTGGCTGTGAGGCAATCAGGGGCAGGAGGATCTATGTTCATCTCCATCCACCTACTTCCTGTATGCCTGACATTTACCAGCTGCACGCAGTGACACGCACGCACAGACGTCCATGTGTCCCTGCCCGTCCCCACCTCCAGATGTTGTCAGCAGGTGGTTCAGAATGAGCTTGTCCTTTTCACATCAACCGGGCGCCCTCCCACCCTTAGAAACTTTGGCTACCCGTAGAAGGCAATGAGCTCCTGTACCTGCGCGTGTTGAGCGTGAACGTGAAAAACAAGAATGCCGACCCTTGTTAAACACGATCAAAGCATCATGGCGATGGGCTTTTTATTCGCTTTTCTGGCTGCTGCAGAGTTGTTGTTTTATTTTGCAAAGCTTCTAGAATTGAGTAATTATTTTAATTACTGCACCTTTCAGCTTCCCTGCATAGGCTATAACCTCAATTTTGTTGTGCTTTTTTACAACTGCGTGTTTTCTCCAGTAAAATAAGCAAATGGAATCCAGAATCATGAAAACGCTGTTATAAACAGGACGTCAGCTTGTTAAGGTTTGAAAGTGCAGATAAGGGCTCTTTATTACTTGCTTGATGGAAACATAAGTGTCCATATTTCAAATAATCACCGCTATATAGAAGTGCACCCACAGTTCCCTTTACCTTGCAGGAGTAAAGAGGGGTTTTCTAAAAGGAATCTAATCAACATTTTCATACAAGTCGTTGTTGAATCTTGTCATACTTTTACGCTTTACCCCAGTTGGCAAACCTCAACAATAACTCGTTGATATCGGATTTTATTTAGTCATAGTCATCAATCACTGTCACTGGCGGTATTTTGTTTGTGGAAGCACGGAGCTGCTGTGCTACGATGAGGAAACGGCTCAGTGACACGCGGTGCGAATGCGGCACCTTAACCCACACCCACCGCAGTGACGGGGCCCACCTAAGCGTTCTCCTGTCAGGCCGTCTCTGCTGAAGGGAGCGAGGAGGCGCTGCTGGGTTAAGGGGCTGTGCACCGTGCGACCTTCTGTGATGCTCACACACTGCTCTTCCCTTGTGTCTTCTTCTCAGGCACCAGCAATGGGTCTGTACTGGTCTACAACCTGACCAGTGGTCTTCTCCACAAAGAGCTCAGTGTGCACTCTTGTGAAGTGAGGTAAGGTTTTGGTTCCTGTGTAGTTAAGTGTACAACCAGGCAGATTGCGATCGTCGATTGGCAGTCACATACTTAGTGTACCTTCTGTGCTCCCGTGTGCCTCAGCTTACTTTATGGCTTTAGCCTCTTTCACATCCAAATGTGCCAAAATAGCAGTTGCGGTGCTATTATAAGCTAATTAAATCGTGTCAAAAATGCTTAATCTTTTCTCTGTGACAATGTGGCGACCTGTGATGTATAGTGGTGAAGGTAACAGAAGAACTCTGCCACCACAAACTATGTAATCAAGCCTCGCAGAGCTGAAACACTGCACAGTGGCTGCATGTAACTGAAGAAGCTTGATGCAATTTTAAAAAGGGACCAGCTTTTGCCAAACATACAAGTCAATTCATCATGACGACTCTGTGTGTTAAATTTGGCTTGTCCAATGTTGCATATCTGATGATATCGAGGATAATCATTTAAATATTGCCTAATTCAGGTGATCATCTCAAAAAGAATTATCCGCTGAGATGCAGACGTCTCTTTCCCAATGTAAGGCATAAGCACTTCCACATGAATCTGGTCTTGGTGGATCAGACTCATCTGTGGAAATCTGAGTGGAATCACATTTGAAACCGCTTGTAAATTAAGTCTTATGACGTCTTTTTTTTACGAAAATCAATCTCACTGGGCCAAAATGTCTGCAGTGAAAAGGGCCACTTGATTTCTGGGTGAAATTCATGCTGCGTGCAGATATGCTAGTAGATTGTTGATGAATTTTCCTTTAACGCCTGTTCACAAAATCATTCCCTCATTCCGTTCCAGTCTAAGCGTCTAATTAATGAGGCTGTCAATAAAACATCAAAGGGCCGTTATGGGAAAGCAGAAGTCCTAATTAGGAAGCTGTATTTTTCTGTTCATAACCAGGCTTTTTAAAAAGTAAAACCGAAGTAGTAATGAGCGGTTGTCGAGCTGAGGACATAACGACACATTTACAAGCGGTTGAGTTGTGAAACTCTCCTATACATTTGTATCAGATACATATTGAAGCTGTTAAAAAGAAACCTTGCAGGTATTCTGTTACAAAGGTTTTAAATTGAAACAGTCGATTGCTATTTAAGTTTCTGTTTCCCTGTTGTCCTGACAGCAGCTTTGATTGTGAAAAGAACATCTTCGTACTCACAAAAGGTATTTCAGAAGTGTTATTAAAGGGATAAATGAGGGGCCCTAAAGTTGCCCAAATGAAACATTATTACATAAAAATAGAGATACATAAAAAGTTATTTTAGGCTGTTCTTCGTCTTTTTCATTTGTTCAAGTACTGGAACGAAACGTCTTCTGCAGATTTAATCAGATCGACAAATACGTCAGTACTATTTAAGGACTTTCTAAAAATACATCTAAAAAGCTATAGAATGAACATAAAAAGGCGCCTTTTGCCATGAAACAGGAAGTTGTTATAACCAACATCTCTCTGGTCCCCTTGACTGCTGGACGGTGCAGGATTATTAGCTCAATTTCATTTTCATAGACAAAAAAGGGACAAAACTAGTCCAGTCCACGTGCATTGCAGAGGTGTGCAGCGTGATTTGAGCTCTGCTTAAATGTGGTTGTGTTGGACATTTAATCGCCTGGTCCTGCTCTGCTTCTGCACAATTTATCTGTTAGTTATGGACCACACTGGATAGAGTGTCGCACCACCTCATGAACTCCCCACAATGCAATAGGCCAACATCAACAAAGAGCACTCTGGGCTTCATTAGTTAGTCGTCTCTAATGGGCAGCAAAACTATTTCACCAGGAGTAATTAAGCACGAGATGTGAATCAATCATTGCAGTTAAAAGATTGATTGGGAGCAAACATCCGCTGAAGCAGAGCCCGGCTCTCTGTAAGGTGTCCACACAAGTCTCCTGAAGGCTGTGCAGCGTGTGTGCGGATTGAAGGGAGTGACTAGCGATGGTTTGGTCTGCCTGGTATCCCGTTGTCAGTTTGTCTCTGCGAGTCCACACTTGACTCATCTGTCCCCCAACAGGACGCCTCCTCCTCGTGCCGACACACTGCGCATCAAATGTGTCCCATGTGTCCATCAAAGATAAAGCAAACAAATCAAACGAATATCCCAACCGTACATCAAATTCGTGCCATCGGGTCCGGGTAGGAAACCCCTGCATCGGATGAGCCCTGCTGGTTGCTCTCACGATGCGCAGTGACTCACAGAATCAAGATCAAAGCTGTGAACTGTTGGTGGAGATAGCAGAGGCGCTTTATGGAGATGAGGCGGCCATCCGTCGCCCGAGCGCCGCCACGCCAAAAGAGGCCTGCCTACTTAGCATCTTATTTACATATAGTGGGGAAGTAGACTAATTAATCATGTGGCTATTTACCATCTCATTAGTAGGGGTTTTGCTCCCTCAGCTGGGCCCACTTTGCAAAAATATTCAAATCTCACACTTGCTGGCATGATTTTTTTCCTTCCCAATGGATTTTGTAGTTTTAGGTGTCTCATCGCATGATGATGTGGAGGAATATTTGACAGCTATACTAATTGTAATAGATAGCAGCATTATTATTTGAACTGAAACCTGTGTGTATGTTTGTGTGTTCATTCCACAGGGGGATTGAATGGGTCAGTCTGACCAGTTTCTTATCTTTTGCGACTTCTGCTCCCAACAACATGGGCCTGGTGCGAAATGAACTGCAGCATGTTGACCTTCCTACTGGTAAAAGGCTACACACACACACACACCCACACATATTAGCCCCTGTACATATTATTACTGGAACTGTCTACTAGTTAATCACACATTTTGAAATTCAATAATCGCGATTAATGAATATTGTTATAATGTTGTTTTCAATGAATGTTTGTTTTTCTTCTAAAGACTAAATCTTACAAGTAATGAGTAATCACTAGAAAACTATTTAGTTTTTAGACACTGTTTAATTGTAATTTTATTTTTACCCCAAACTACACACATTTGATCATCTCCAATGCAGAATTCCACCAGGTGGAACACAATTCCTCTCTACAGTTCTGCGTTGTATATCCGTGTGTGTTTGGTACACACAATAGGCATGTGGCATGGTTAGCTTAGCATAGCACCAAGGTAACAAGGGAAACAAGGTGAAGTGGCTCACTGAGTTCCATCCAAACAAGAGAGAGATGCAGTGTGAGACTGGTCGTCCTGTGACGGGAGCCGCTCTCTGCAGCTGCTGTGGGTGGGTCTTCAGTGGGCTGCAGTAGATGGGGGAAGTTAACTAGCATACGTTGCATTTGTCACCAAAATGTTGTTATGTGTACAGATGATAAATACGTGTTATTATAGCAATATTTCTTGTACATTCATGCATCAGCTTGAATCCGGCTACGACACGTCTTCCAAAAGGAATGAGTGGGACTTGCTGTGTTAGCTAGAATGGCATTCCCGCCTCCTTTTGCACGCAGCAGATTAAACTAAATATCACCACATTTCTTTGTGTTCAGAACCTTGAGACATGTGTGTGTTTCTTGAGGATTCACATTTGACACATGAGATTTGAGCACGAAGGGGCCTGATCTGAGGAGTCAGATAATTGCCTCAAAGAGGAAATGATGAAGAGAGGGGGGCTGATGTGCCCAGCTGTCCCGTCCTCTCTGGGACACGCCCACCCTGCCCGAACCGCCACAGGCTGCCATGTCACTTGTACATATGAAACATTTCCTAAGGGGTCCTCTGCAAAATCCGATCAGCGCTTCCTGAGACAAACAGTGAAGGGGAACCTTGATGCTCTGCATAATGGACCGCTACCGAAGCTGGAACACGCTGTGTGTGGATGCAAAGCGGAGATTGCAGCAGGTTGCTGCAATTTTGCTTTGTTCTCGCTCAGCGAAAGGAGATGGAACCAGGACACCCTGGCATTAAAGGGAAATGAGTTCCATCAGTGAGAAGAAGACTGAAAGAGACAGCCTTCCAGCTGGTCACCTATCCCTCACACGCTAACTTTTATCCCTCTCTCTCTCTCTCTCTCTCTCGCTCTTTCTCTCTCTCTCTGTGTCTCTGTTGTGTTTTCCAGGGAGATGCTTTGCATTCAGAGGCGAGCGAGGAAACGACGAGCCCCCCATCGAGATGATTAAAGTGTCTCATCTCAAGTGAGTTGCCTGCTCTCCACCACCACCTCTCGCAAGAGACAAATACCACCCCCCCCTCGCACTCTAGTTCTTTTTCGTGAGAGAGAGAGAGAGACACACACAGACACACTCTCTCCACTTACATACACACACTATACACCCACACACTCTCCCTCTCATAAAAAAACCCCTCTCTCTCTCTCTCTCTCTCTCTCTCTCTCTCTCTCTCTCTCTCTCTCTCTCTCTCTCTCTCTCTCTCTCTCTCTCTCTCTCTCTCTCTCTCTCTCTCTCTCTCTCTCTCTCTCTCTCTCTCTCTCTCTCTCTCTCTCTCTCTCTCTCTCTCTCTCTCTCTCTCTCTCTCTCTCTCTCTCTCTCTCTCTCTCTCTCTCTCTGTGTGTGTGTGTGTGTGTGTGTGTGTGTGTGTGTGTGTGTGTGTGTGTGTGTGTGTGTGTGTGTGTGTGTGTGTCGCTGAAATTAGCAATTCCAATATGCATCAGGTGTTATAATAGACAGATTTAAATCTCCTGAGCTCTTTAGAAAGTCCAGAATAGCACAGATCTAGCATTAGTTGCTTGCTTATTTCCTTTATAAATTCATGCTGTGCAGTGGGTTGGAATCGTCATTTTTTTAATTCCTGCATTCATCACTGCTGAATCTTTTAATAGAGAAAGAAATGAGCATGCATTAACAGTCCCCTCACATTTTCTGAGAAAGCGGCCCCTCGTATATCCAGTAGATAGTTCTTTCTTTTCAGTGCACCACATTACCTTTTTAGAGTCCTTAGCTTGTGGGTACATCACCATCTGACAAAACTCCTTCACTCATATATGTGTGTAAGAATAGTTTGTTTATACTGCTGATGTTGTTTCTCGATGTAAATCAGATTTTGAGACTGCTTTTGTGCAGTAGTGTGTGTTTTGAGCTGTGTTTTTGTGTGATGCCCGTCCTCAGACAGTACCTGGTGGTGGTGTTCAGAGACAAACCCCTGGAGCTGTGGGACACCAGGACTGGTACACTCCTCCGAGAGATGGCGAAGAACTTCCCCACTGTCACTGCATTGGTACTGACAAGTCTACACCGCCTTTGATTCTGAGCTGCTACCGACACACAAGGAAAACTGTACAACAGTTACTGAAGATAACAAAATACATGTGCACGGTTGCTCAGTGAAAATGGCAGCCGCATCAATACAAATATTTACTTTAGGTTCACTGCTGCGATACTAGCCATCTTTTGTGGATAGTCTCTAATGCTGGGGAATGGCCATTCGAAAGATTGGTCTTCGAAATTTCCCCTAAGCTCAGCACAGAATGATGGTTTCATTAGGCAAGAGAAATAATTGGTCATAAAAGGAGAGCAGAGCGGACAAAACTTCACAGTGAGGCAGTAAAATCCCCCACAGCAAGATTAAAAACCGCCAGTAACCTACATAATACATGCTGCCCTCCCCTTGCCCCATATTGCTGTATCATTTCCATGCTGATTTCCACCTCCAGTCCGACAGACTGCAGCGCTTACACAGGAAGGCCGAGGAGAAGGGCTCTCCTGTGGGCCTTAGTTTAATTCATGTGAGCATCCACAGTCTGCACAGATCACTTCCTGTTCCTTGTGTCTGCATCGATTGCTCTCTGATAGTTTGCCCCAATACCAGAAAATGTGTCTGGTTTGGTTTCCCCTAGCTCCAACCGTGTGTGTGTGTGTTTCCCTGTGTGTGTTTACAGGAGTGGTCACCGTCCCACAACCTGAAGAGTCTGAAGAAGAAGCAGATGGCAGCGAGGGAGGCCATCGCTCGGCAGACGGTGTCCGACGCAGAGCAGAGTAGTGTCGAGTCCTCGGTCATCAGGTCAGCGCTAAAATTCTCAATTTAGTTCCATGAAGCGTCAGGATGGAGGGCGCTGAGGGGGGATAAGGAATTAAAAGAAAAGTGTAAAAATAATGTCTATTTATTTATTGGAATATTGGATTCCTAACTGGATGCCCTTTAGCACGTTTGTTTATATTAAGGTGTAGTTATCATATTATATTGTTGCAATACAGTTTTGAACTGTCAATGTTTAGCTTGGTTACATCACGTTAATCTGTCACATTTAGCAAACTATTTCAACATAGTGTTTCTTTGCATCTTTATCCTTTTATTGTTTTGGGATTACTTCTATTTGTTGCCATGAGCTTATATTTTGATAACTTATCCAGAGGGTTTCGTTTAGCCAACAAGGTAATAGTGCGTAGTTTTCACACAACCAATCACGACACATAATAAGTGAAGCTGGTGGATGTCATTGTTTCATGACAGAAACCCTTGTTATTTGGGTTTCTGTCATGACGTCTGTCTCTACAATGCCTGCACTGCTCCTGGTTGGGAGGGATTGTAGTCATTTCACACGGGAGCGAGTGCGGAAAGCCTGACACGTTTCTCCGCCACAGCCTCCTGCAGGATGCAGAGAGCAAGTCGGAGACCAGCCAGGCCATCTCGGCCAGGGAGCATTTCGTATTCACCGACACCGACGGGCAGGTCTACCACATCACCGTAGAGGGCAACACAGTCAAAGACGGTGCACGTATCCCCCCCGATGTGAGTCTCTTCCTACTTCAAACGCTCCTGAAGTACTTCTAGGTCATCCTTACACAGCCAGTCCTACTCGCTTCATATCTCTTACCCACCAGGGAATTTAGCAGGTTTGTTTCTCCCTCCTTTCTGAACACAAAGATCTGAATGTGAAATTATGGCGAATGTGTGTGAGCTTTTGCGTTGCATCGTCCCGTTAGCAGGTTGTGTTTAGTTCTCTCGGTGGGTTTCAGCGTGATCCCGACACTGTTGCTCTATCTGCCCGTAAAGCGTCTCATGATAATTCAGTGATTCATTCGCTGTGCCTGCCAGCTATTACTGAACACAGGATTTACTTTCTCCCGGATGACCACAAGATGGTGAGATGACATCTGCATCTCAGTGCGCCCGTCCCCACTAACTAAGAGCCTTATGATTGTTGACACAGAAAAAGGGGATTAGCTCCCCAAGAGTTTGAGAAGTCCTTAAGAAAGCCTCTGGGAACTTTCTTGGACTCATTATCTAGGTGTGACTTGCGGTTGAGTCACGCTACGGAGTAGATTGCGTCTTCTCTTGTTTGTTGTTGACGGCCACATCCAGTAATAGACACCGCACTCTTTCATGGCATATTGCTATCCTTTCTCCCTTTCTTTTAATTTGAAATGCCACGATTGCTGCCTCTGCTGCTGTCTCTCTTTCTGAGCAGCAGATTGGATTGTTTGACAGCCTGTGTTTTGGCCGCTCACTCCCTGCATCTATCAGCAGCTCACAGACACTGTAGTTCACCTGCTGATTTAAAAGCCTCATCCGTGCCGACGACCGCAGGTTCATTGTTCAAAGATTTGCCCCCCTCAAAGGTTTCACAGTCCCTTCAGGAGGATAGGAGATCTTCACAGCTCTCGAACGGAAAAGTTTAGTCTCATTCACTGGGTGCAACTGAAGGTGAGCCGACACCTAATGTTTTCACCTCGGCGCTCCGTCTTGTGCTGCAGCAGCCTGACTTTACCTGAGGCGTCGCGCCACTCGGCTATAGACAAGGACATTTGTAGAATAGTTCAGCTGTATTAATGGGAATCTTTTCAATGTCTTAACATCATTGCTTTTTGTCTGTACTTATGTGGAGGCTGGGTCACTGACAGCTATAGGAGGTAGTTGTGAATTATTTATCTATGGCGGTAATAGAAAATAATTCTCACAGGCAAAAGAATAAAATCAACTGCCAAAATGATAAAAAAGAGGGTTTGTTTTTCAAAGCTGCAGTTTGTAACTTAAACTGCCGATACGAAGTCACAGTATTATTTAAGATAGATTTTCTGCAGAATCTTGATTCATTGTGATCGACGTTCACAAGCACTCTGCTGTGATTGTTTTCCTTTGGAGCGGTTGGATCTTGTAAATACAATTTTGAATATAAAACTCTACAGTAGCGGTTCCCAAACTCAAGAATGCCGCAGCCCAATTTGAAATCTGAAATCTGATTAAAACATAAACTAGGGATGATTAAATGACCTTAAAAATTTAACCGATTTAAAAATGTATTAACCGACAATGTATGTTTTGTATACCATTTTCTCCGGAGCTCATATATATTTACTTTAATACTACAAGAGGGCAGAAGACATATTTTTATGTTAATTTCAAACTTTTGAAAATTAAAAACATTTTATTTATTTATTGTAAATGATCTCTCACGGCCGACACTTTGGGAATCGCTGCTCTACAGGATAGAGTTAAAGCAAAATATGATTTAAAAAAAAAAAGTTATTTGCACAACTGGGAAGCGGTCCTTAGGGTTAGGGTCCTTATTTTTCCTCCCTCTGAATATGTGCAATCCGCGTTGCAGGGCAGTATGGGTAGTATCGCATGCATCGCGTGGAAAGGCGACACCCTGGTGCTCGGGGACGTGGACGGCAATCTCAACTTCTGGGACCTCAAAGCTCGTTTGTCCAGGTAGCAGCGGATCTTTTCTTCCCACACTGCACTCACAGTATGCCACATTCCTACCTGCAAACCCCATCCAGATGTCCTCTGCTTGGTTTGATGGTCGCGGTTGATGCTTTCAGGGGGATCCCTACGCACCGTGGCTGGGTGAAGAAGATCCGCTTCGCCCCGGGTAAGGGCAACCAAAAGCTGCTGGTGATGTACACCGATGGAGCGGAGGTCTGGGACACCAAAGAGGTGAGGCGCCACACAACAGACATTGGCACTTTTTGTAGCGCACTATAAATTCCCAACCAGCATCACCTGACCACACAACGCTGATGAAATGAAGGACTGCAAGCTGATAGTAGTGCTTTACATTGATCAGAATAAGTGTTTGCAGAGCACCGTGACAACTAAACCGCTGCAGTATTGAGTCTCCCAAACCAGCAGTCTAGTAAGAGTATATTTGCTATAATTGCCATGATAACCAAAGAAATCATCACGGTGCACTGTATACATAGAAAAACCCTAAAAGCTTGCCACTCACATTAAAAGCCTCAGTGATTGCAGGATGATGTATGGAAGTAAATCTGTGTCATCGGATTTTGAAAGAAAAAGGTGATTGAATTTCTAGCACTGAATTTTTATGCATTGAAATCATGTATCTGAATGTTTTTCAACGTTAAAATATTCCCCGGATGTTGCGGTTGAATTATTTGCGGTTGAATTTTTTGCAGTTGAATATTTTAACGTTGAAAAACATTCAGATACATGATTTCAATGCATATATATTCAGTGCTAGAAAGTCAATCACCTTTTTCTTTCAAAATCCGAGGACACAGATTTTCTTCCATAATGATGACATTCATCCCCTTTAACTTTGCTTACCGACGACGTCGTCTCTCTGCACAGCCTCCGCTTGAGAATCCTTTGGGCTTGTTTGTCCTTCAACATTTGCTCACGGACTGGACTTTTTTTGTTTGTTTACCCATCTTCATCTATAGCCACAGTATTTGTTAGCCTGTGCTGCAGAGATACATCTTGAAAACCAGATAGATTTGGACACGGATAGATGTTTCAAGCATTATGGGGCGGAGCCAGAAGGTTCCGCTGGAGCATTGATGTCTGGGTGGAGGTGAATGATGAGGCACACTTTTCATTCCCCAAACGCAAAATCCAGACAACAGATGGATCAAGCGGCAGAGGGAATCTAAGAGGGAGTAAATGTTGGAGGAGAGGAGAAGCGGGGGACATCTTGGACGGGCTTCGGCACCCCCACAGCCCTGTAGAAAGTCGGAGATCCGGCGGTTGTGTAGCACATCCTCTGAAGGAGTCTTCTACTCTGTCCTGCTGTACTCGCCACATAAATGTTGCTCCAACCGCTATCCCCCACCTAGACTAGTTACAGATACTTAAAAAAGAAAGGCTTTTAGGGGACAGTTTGGATGAACTTCTTTGGCCCCTCCTCCTCCCGCAGGTCCAGATGGTGAGCAGCATGCGGATCGGCCGCAACGTGAACTACCGCATCATAGACATTGACTGGTGCACGTCAGACAAGGTGGTGCTGGCCTCTGACGATGGCTGTATCCGAGTGCTGGAGATGGCCATGAAGTCCGCCAGCTACCGCATGGATGAGCAAGACCTGACCGGTGAGCCGAGGAAGAACGAGTGTGACCATTGCACATAGAGGTTTACGGAAGAAACTAAATCCTTTACACAGCCGGAGAGTAACCGCATGTTCTTCCTGATCGGTGGGGAACGTGTTTAGATCCAGTGTGGTGCCCTTATCTGCTGGTTCCCCGGGCTGCCCTGACTCTCAAGGCTTTCCTCCTGCTGCAACCCTGGGCAGGAAGCTTCACCATGGACATCACTCAAGTGTAAGTCACCGCACACGGGTCTACGCCAAACTCAACCCGCTCTTATGATGTCAGGACTGTTACAAGGTCGGTCTCAAATATCCATAATGTCGTCTGATTGTTGAACCATGCAGCTCAGAAAAATAAATACTAAAGTAAAGCCCATGACTAAAGATGCCCTGGGCCAATCTTCAATGTCGCCGCAAGGCAAAATCTGTTAATAGAGATTATGTGAAATCTTGATTCCGTCCCCCCAATTTAATACAGTTTCACTTTGGCATCTGAGGCCGAGTTTAGTTCGGATTGAGTTTACCAACTATAATTTGTTGTGAGCAGGAAAAGTGTAAAGTTCTAATGGTAATTTTGTTTAGTAAAACCTGAAACAACAAAAATAAGACTAGCTTCTTTTTATTGCCCTATACTACTATACCTTCGTCCTTTGCCGAGCCTCTGTACATTCTATTTATGAGTTTAATAATAACAAGAAAGCCAATTTGTGGGTGTAAGCAGCTCCTCTCGGTAAACAAGTCAACATGGGATTTAGTTTCATTCAGACGGCTGCATCTGTGTTTCGCCAAAGCCTGATGTAGGATTTGGCGCGATGAGGCTTTCTTCTTTTAAACACACGCAGCTGCCTATCATAAGTCAGCCAGCTATGAGAGCAGAGCTCGCCTCGCAGGACCTGACCTCGGGATGAATGCTGGAATAGAATTATCCGTTATTGCCGCTCACCTCGGATCCGCTCCTTTTAACGAGCGCCTTCTCAGCTTTCCGTTTGATATCCGGTAGACGTGGAAGAGCCGTTTGACTGAGTCTGATCCCTCTGTTTTAGAGACTACAATGAGAAAGGCGAGATAAAAGGGCTGATCCAGGAGCAGCTCAACTCCTTGTCTAAGTGAGTTATTCCACTTTCATTACGCACTGGAACACAATATTTATATGAATGGAGTGATGCAAAAGCCAACACTGCGATGTATGTGCACGTTATGCATGTGAGTCACCCGAGTGTCATTTCTGTTGATGTGGTTTCGGCTCGCCGCCACGCTCCGGTGTGTTTACACGGCGCACCCAGAGAGCAGGTCGTCTGTGGGTTGACAAGACGAGAGGAATGGCCCGCAACTGGCACACGGGGCCTGCTGGGTCGGAGGAGTGTAATTGTCTCTGGCGGTGTTCTGATTCCCTGTCTCTGATTGGCCCCCCAGCGACATGAAGAGTGTGCTCCAGGACCCGGAGCTCAGCCTGCTGCAGCGCTGCCTCCTGGTCTCACGGTGGGTTAACACGCTGCACGGAGACCCCGCTGGTCTGCACAGGGATTAGTTTGGTGGTTTACTGGTCCCCCAGCAGGATAACTGTATTCTTATTCAGACAGTACACCCCGAGTTCTTATTCACATGCACATACATTTTTTTAAACATATTAATAATGTAACACATCCATATGTTTGCATTTTCTACCTCCTCCCACTTACAAAGATTGAATGCCGCACTGTGTTACAAGCTACTGCTGGTTCACACTGAGCAAGAAAAAAGTGCATGGATATGTGAACAAGATGATGAAGTGTGGAAAGATGAATGATTTTGTTTGGCATCTCGCTGAGCAGCAGCATTCATGCTCCACAGCTCTCATGTCCATGTTTTCACACCATTGTTAATGCAGCAGGGTAACCTAGCAACAGCTGTGTGCCCGTGCAGATATGTTAAAATGAAGCGCAGCGAAGTAACCAAGGAAAGGAAAGGCAAGGCAGGGGGACGTGGAGAGGAGGCGGAGGTGAGCTGAGAGAGCCGCTGGAAGAAGCCGCCATGTTGGTTCAGACTGCGGAACTCCTCCCAACTTCTCCCGAGAGAGCGCCGTCCAGTCGGGGCTCGGCTGACGCCTTGTTTTTGTTGTGAGTCGCAGGCTGTTCGGGGACGAGTCCGACCTTAACTTCTGGACCGTGGCGTACCACTACCTGCAGTCGTTCGCCCAGGCCCGTCAGCTGAGCGTGTCCGCCGCAGAGGGTCCGGCCCGCAGTGAAGGAGCCCAGCCGTCCCCTCAGGGCCACCTGGACATCTGCCACGACATCCTGTGTGAGAGCTCCTACTTCCAGGTCAGCGGAAACAAAAGAGGACGTTTTGGTGTTAGGTGTTACTGTCCTCCAGTCAGGACACACACAAACAAGCTGCCACCAGCATGGCTCCACTCACACAGTACATCCCATTATCAGAGACACTGTGTCTCTCCTGCTCTCTCGCTTTTCAAGGGACCTTCACACCTTTAGGTCTTTTAGGTCAAACCTGCCTTTTTCGTTAACGACAAAAAGTTAATCTCTAGTTTGTGCCTTTGTGTCATTGGTCGGATCAATGCGTCTCGCTGATGACTCAATAGCTTAGCAACAGCTCTAATCTCCCCCCAAATTTAATCATCAACCTAGTTTGTTCTGAAGAACATTTAAGAAGGTTTCTGCAGAAGATGGCCATTAATTGGTTCGGTTCTGTGCTGGTCAACACGGCAGCTACGCATCGCTGATGAAACCACCATTATGCCACCGTAGGGAATCAGGAGGTTTTCTGTTGAAGGCTAGTTTTTTTTGTTGGCTAGTTAACGTGTGCGGTACGAACGCTGCAAGAATACTTCTGTGGGATTCGCTTGAGAGGAATAGTTTGGAAGAAGCAAACTGTAGATAATGATTAAAAAGTTGGCCCGCTGTGCATGAAGACTGACGTTCTGTGGTACACGGGGGCTTCTTTTTCTTAACCCACAAGGCTGCATCAATATTCCTAAAGCAGAGGAGAGGGTGGACATGTACCTTCTCGAGTGAAAGCAGAGTGACCAGCTAAGAAAAATGTCAAGCAGCTTCACGCAAGCATTGAAGCTTGAATTAGCATAAATCTAAAATCATTTCGGATGCTAATTGTCACGTTGTTTTTTGTTATGGGAGCAGCTTTCCCGTTGTTTTTTAATGGCTTGTTCACAGTTCTGTCATCGTGAAACGTCTTCTCCCTGTTAATGAGGGGCCACGCAGGGATCACAGAGCGTGGACTCATAGAGCCGCCAGACAGATACATTTGGATCCTGTTGTCACAAAACGGCATCAGTTGTAGCAGCCTGACTGCAATTACAAAAATACAAGACTCTGAAGCCGAGCATGCGGCTACGGACTCATTTGGTGCTCGTGCCCACGGCTGGGGCTCCGAAGAATTCATCATAATAAAGTGAAAAAAAGTTGAACTTCTGTGCTGGACACAGAAACAGGAACGCACACACACACAAACACAGTAAGCCGATGTAACTAATTCCCCACTATGCTGCTATCGCTCCCCTGTTTGTACTATTCCTCCCCTCTTGTCCTCCTACGAAAATTAATGCTCAAAAATATCTTCCATGTTTTGTTCTTTGCTCGCTACAATAAAAAAGCTCCCATCAGGGACCATTTAATAAAATGATGAGGAAAAATAACCCATAAGTATGGGAAGCTGTGCTCCCAAATACTGAAGGCTCCTGAATATTTTAGAGCCTTTGATATTACACCCTCCATCTCCGCACTCTGTATTTCTATCATTTCATCACTTTTTCTCATCACTGAATAATGTACAATAATCTTTCCGTCTCCCTTACACACATGTACAATCTCTGACAGTGACTCTGTTACAGCGTTATGTAGATAAAAAGCCCCGAAAAGTAACCCGTGGCTCCACATTTTCTGCCTCCCAGAAGTTCCAGTTGGATCGGGTACACCTGCAGGAGGTGAAGCGCTCCAGTTATGAACACACCAAGAAATGTGCCGACCAGCTCCTCCTGCTGGGTCAGGTGAGTGAATGCACCACACGGTGCTGCTGCACGCCGATGGGAGTTCCCGCGTTCAGACACACGATACGGTTGGTTGTCACGTGCTTTTGGGATGTCAACAGATACATGTGACATGCATCCTGCCATTTAACAACATTCTTTATATTCTATTATAGAATATTCTCCAGCACTCACACACACTAGCAGCTTCCCGCTCCATAGCTGTGCCTACGTGCACACTGCCATACTGGTAAATAGGACATATCAGTGCCCTGGAGCCTAATGAAGCAAGAAGGACGATAAGTGCCCCTTTCTTTTCAGCCTGTAGGCAGGGGACCACCCCCCCCCCCCCCCCCCAGAAGGGGAAATACTGTCAATGTTACACCCGGTTGCCTGCTATGAATGGGCAAACAATATCTACAATATTTTGGAAGGCAGCCGCTTACTCGTGTCCTCCACCGGCATGGGGGAGCTCTGATCACCTTCACCCCATATATAGAAGGTCGTAAAATCTATGCTCCCTCCCTCACCCCCCTTACCGCTGCGTCCTGTAGGGCTCACACAGCGTTCACCTGGCCGACCCATGTCTTTTGTTGTCCCATCAGACGGACCGGGCGGTGCAGTTGCTGTTGGAGACGAGCGCAGACAACAGCAGCTACTACTGCGATTCACTCAAGGCTTGCCTCGTGACCACCATCACCTCCTCGGGCCCCTCCCAGTCCACCATCAAGCTGGTGGCCACCAACATGATTGCCAACGGCAAACTAGCAGGTAGTGCTCCTCTTTTAATTAGCTGCAGCAATCTGCAGCTTTGAATAATTCATATATTCTGTGTGTTTGTTTATAAATGTTGAAAAGGTTGCAGATATTAATCACTGAAGGGAAAAAACAGTGCAGGCAACGTGTAGATTTAAAATGAATGAGTAAGGTGGTGCAAGGACCTCCTTTCTACGGAGTGATTCACCTTTCGTAGTGCATGGCTGTCGTTTCTCCATCGCACATTCACGGACAAATTCCCCCCGTTTGTCTGTGTGTCAGAGGGAGTGCAGCTGCTGTGTTTGATTGACAAGGCGGCGGATGCTTGCCGCTACTTGCAGACCTACGGGGAGTGGAACCGCGCCGCCTGGCTGGCAAAGGTAACTCGGCGTGACGCCGTCCGTCAGCAGCACACATCAGATACTGTGTCATGTTTGGATAGCGCGTAGCCGTGTGGCCGTTGGGTGTGTACCTGCTGTGTGTGTGAACATTGATATTTCAGAATATATTTTATATATATATATTATTATGATTATTGATTGTTTTTTTGTCCTTTTAGTGTTATCTGGGCGAGTTCCCCAACAGCACCATGTGCTTATGTTGCACGTAGTATTTTTCAGTAACAAGGCCACTTTGAAGCAGCTGGAGTCTGACCGCCGTGCACGCTGTGTGTGTCTCCAGGTGCGTCTGAGCCCAGCAGAGAGCTCGGATGTGCTGAAGCGCTGGGCGGAGCACCTGTGCTCCTCGCAGGTCAACCAGAAGTCCAAAGCCATCCTGGTGCTGCTGTCCCTGGGCTGCTTTTACAAAGTGGGAGAGATGCTGTGCAAGTAAGATGGACGAGTTCTCGAGCATGCTGCGAGCAGCATTACAATATATTCATGGCTTTGCTATTGAATTCTAAAATGAGAAACGCAGCCCCGGCAAGACTTCTGACTGCCTTTATTCTCCCTGTGGACTAAAGTCCCATTTTATGGAATGTATTTGGGGGGCAAAAAAGAGTACTCTATTCCCTTCCCTTCATTAAGGATCCTAGTGTACACACTAGCATTCGTTTCTCAATTAACAGTTGATCTACTTGTCCTCCTCCTTGACCGCTTGTGTCTTCAAAGCCTCGGGCTGTAACAGCTCACTGAATTAGAATGGCAGCAGGACAACAGTGTTGATGCGTCTGCATCTCCCTCCTCTTCCTCATTCTATCTGCAGCATGAGGCACTTTGATCGCGCCGCCCTCTTCATCGAAGCCTGTCTGCAGCACGGGGTGATGGAGGCCAACGACTCGTCCAATATCCTTTTTAGAAATCCCATTAGTGCTCTCTAAGGAGCCATTTACAGCCGGAGTTGGCTCCCCTGGTGCACCCTCCGTCTCCAACACAGACGTGCCCTCGAAAAGCAGAGAGCTTGAAGTAGCTCGTCCTGTCCCACCTTGATCACAGAGCTCAGCTGGCCCGCACTCATGAGACCACTTTTAGAACCGAGACGATTTCCATTCTCCATGTCTACGTGTCATTGCAATGGCGATGCTGACAGAGTGGACAGGTTTTTACTCAACCATGTGGTAAAATAGATCTAAAAGGAAAATATGTTTTTAACGAAGTCTTTCTAAAGTAAATCAGGAAACATTTATTGCCATAATATGTCAGACATGCAATGAATTTGACTTGGCGTTTGGTGCATAACTGCAGACTGGACGACAAGAAAACAGTGCAATTTAATGAGCAGCATTCAAATGTCAGTGTCAGAGATATATAGATATAAGACCAACATAAACTAGGTCCAAACACAAACTTTGTCCACCTCTCAGTTTTTGTGACATCAGTAGTAGCCCAACAGAGGTGGATCAGCATGTAATGTGTATGATAAGAGGCTCAATACATTCAGCTATAATGATCATTGCTGCAGTGAATCCTCCCTTCGTGGAGGTGGTAGAGACCTGGTAGATTATCATTCATGCCTTTAAAGCGATTAGATTGCACCTGTTCTTCTTGAGGATAATCGAGTGGCAGCTTCGAGTCCAACTGCTAGACTTAAAAGTTGAAATGCGTGACATTAATCGAAGAATGTTTTTGAGTGGCATCATTCATCGGCCCCCATTGTTTCATTTGATGTCCTATGGCCACGACGTGTTACCCGTTGTCCTTGACCTGCGCGTGCTGCACATAAACTCATCAAGTCGGCGTTCCTGGAGTACGCCCGCATGCTGCGCTCGCTGGGCCTGCGCGAGGGCGCCGCTCTGTGGGCGTCACGGGCCGGCAGCGCCGGGGAGCAGCTGATGGAGGAGCTGTTCCAGGGGGAGGGGGGCGTGCCAGAGGCCGCCCAAGGCGAGGAGGAGGCCGAGCAGGGCCCGCACGGCGCCGAGTGACCCCGGAGGGAACGCGCTCTTCGGTTAAGAGTCAGCGGCCGGCCATTCGTTCGTTCTAACTTCAATAGCGTGACCTTCGTGAGTTCACTCTGTGTCGCCACAATGAGGAGGTCCCTCCGTGGGAAGCTGTCAGTCCGTAACTGAGTCCGCCTGTGACTTTAACGACATCTTTTTAATGTTTGGTGTTTTTGTGTTCATGTGTATGCATGTAACAGCCCCAAAAGAAACACACTTCTGTCCTGATTCCTCACATCAAGTGTAGTAATGCACATCAAGTCATTGTTCTTGTTGTCTAATGACGCTTTATATTGGATGGTCAAGCTTTATTTTGTGTGCCTGTATTGAATATCTTTGGTATAATTAATTCACCCAAAAAATAAGCATTCTTTTTAATTTTGAAAAGGCATTCCCCCCCCCCCCCCCCCCCCCATGAGCGAATTCCAAAATGAGTCTTTAGCACCGTTGATTTAACCAAAACACCCCATTAGTTGAATGAAGACTTTGATTCCTTGTTTTAGGCAAACGCATAACAGGGGCTGTTATGTTTGCAGCAGGTGGTTCTGGGTAATTTCCTGGCAGTGAAGTCGGTTAGCCGTACCACGCTGCGCTTATTAGTAGATCCACTCCCCGAACAGACCGCCTCCACCTGTGCTACCATCGTGTGTGTGTGTGTGTGTAGTTCACATGAGTTAAATAAATGCCAGTTCATCTATTCCATTATTCCAAATGGAATGTTTAATCTCTTACTTTTATGGGATGTTTTCCTTTGCGAGGTCTTTTGATGTTTCTGTAACGAGCTCCGTCTCTGGCAGGTATATTACACAAGACGAGCCGTCAGAATGTGTTGTAACTCGTTTTACATCATGTACACACATACATCCCCCTGAGGCTCATCGCGATCACAAAGCTACACGAAGCAAATCGCACCCACTTTGCCGCTCAGTTCAGACTTGCTGCCACATCTCCTCTTTTCACGGTAAAAATCTACTGATCATCCGTAGGACAATGCCAGGACGTGATTGTGCCTTCCACTGTCTTGTAACGTGTTTAGAGACGATAGCCCCCTCCGCTGGAACTCTCTTGTTCTCGACCCCAGGCGCCATCGCTACGGCAACCCTGGGCTATTTAAGGGGACACCTTGTTGTTGCTGTAGATCCGTTTCACATCCACTAGCCAGCATGCAGGATCACACCCCCCCCCCCCCTTGTAGATGATCATCTGTGGGCCACCTGATGCTGTGTATCGTCCTGCAAGCTCCACGCGCGACGTTAGAGTGTGGTTCACACCCGCTGCTTCACTTTCTACTGTAGTGTGTGTGTTCATTGTCTGTACAGTGATACCAGTGCTTTAAACTATAAATATTCCAAACTGAAGAAAAAAAAAAGATATATGTATATATGGATGGCAATAAAATCAATATTATGGACTTTAATATGCATTCTCAGCGTGCTGTTTCCTGTGTGCGGATGTTGACACAGGGGGGCGCTCTCCCCCCCGCTGAGACAAGCCGGCCGTGGCTGGAACACGTGGAACGGCCTCCTGGAGAACAAGAGCCGTTAAAAGCAAGTGCTCCTTGCAACGCCCCCCTTTATTTTAAAGCCACGTAGATTGGATTTGAACGTCCCTTCATTCATCAAGTTGTCTTCAGGGCGAATTATTTCCTGCATGAGTCGCTTCCACCATTAATTACTTCTGCTGTGCTCACAAAGCGGGCCAGCAGCTGGCTTCAGCTCGCTGCCCAGGGTTCGCCTCTATACACGGCTTTGGATTCATTCATTGGGGGGTATTCTGCTGCAGAGCACAGGGAGAATAAAGGCAGTCTGAAACAGAAGGCCACACGAATGACTTGGCGGTGTTCTTTTTAATGAATGACTGCCTGAGAGCCGTTGCAGCCAGGTCATCAGTATCCCTCACCGGGATTTCTATTCTGTCCCACTGCTAATACTTAGGATACCCCCCCCCCCCCCCGAATGTTTCTCATAACCGCTCCCATCCTCCCTTTCTCCAGCTATGTCGACTTCACCATTCTGTTCACCATGCCAGCTCATCTGATTCCTTTGATGCCTTGTTTCCATCTGCTGGTTGGCTTTAAACCTCCCCTCCCCACCCCCAGTCCTGTACTAAAGACTCAATGTGTCCAAACCACAAGGTTAAGTGTGTTACATCCGGGCCTGTGAGGTGCATTTGTGTTCATTTAACAGATGGAAACCACTGGGCTCCACCTGTCTTCGCGCTCCACGCGGCCAGAAGTTCAACAGGCTGCTCCCAAATCAATCGTACACGGCCGCCTCGCCGCCACGCATCCTCAATCATCTGTTTCAAGCAACCAAGCAGGCCAGCCGGTGCCGAGCCGCACACTGCACAGTGCATGTGGGGAAGGCAGCAGGTCAGCCAGTTCCCACCAGTGCGTCCTTGGCGGGCGCTGAGGGCCGGGCAGGTCCACGCCTGCTTCACGCCATTTTTTGAGATTTCCACTGAGTTCGTTCCTCTGTAATTATGTTCCGTTGTTTTCTCGGCACATCTCTGAGCATTCATTAGGCACCGCAGGTAGTGGAAGAGGATCGTTTTGTGTCCTTTTAACCTGCATTGGTTGCGTTACATTTCCGTGCTCTCCTGTTTTCACTTCACTTCTCTTCTTTCACTTCTCACCTCGTCTATCTGAAATCAACAGCTCCCGCCTCCCAGTCTGCCCCGCGGGGGAACCGGTAAAACACGTGTTGAAATCTGTAAATCTCACACTATGCCTCTCACCCCCACATCACCTCACCTCGCCCGCATCTAGGGGGGGTCGCCTGGAGTGGAAGGAACCCACAGGCCTGATCTCGGCTGATATCCACATCCACGCACTCCTCTGATTGGATAGAAATGACTCCCCCCGCCCTCCCTTCAGCCTCTGCTATTGGTTTGCTTATGTCTGCAGCCTGGGGTTGGCCGGGCCATTCTGCCGGGGGGCCCCCAGTTGGGGGCTCCAGGTGATGTTTATGTTGAAGATATTCAGGCCCCCAGCTTTATCTGATCCCATTTAGATGAATGTCAGTGTTCTGCAGACCGTGGCTGAACTCGCCACAACACCACACTGCTCCTATTCAAGACCGGCGGGTTGGAGGAGCGAGTTGGGTGCAGCATTTGGGGAGGGCGGGGGGGGGCAGCAGCTATGGAACATTACCACACGGTGACAAACTGTTATCGAGCTCTGGTAACGAGGATAATCTTTTAAAGAGCTACTGCTATCTCTCAGAAGCAGCTCTCGCTGTGGCTTTTGGGCGCGTGCATGCCGTGGCCTGTGTGTTATTTACAGAAGCATAAGGGAATCAATGGGTGCATTGTGTCACGAGCGGGGGGCTGCCTGAGTCTGAAGCCCCGGCTCAGGATTTCACTTGACTGTACTCTACTAACTCTCAAACAAAAATCTGGGTATTTTTACAGGATATTAATGCCTCGGCTAAAAGGAATTCCCAGCTTTTATGTCAACAGCCTTTAAAGACACAACGGAGAGATGTCTTCCCCAAGTGACATTGTCAACCCCCCCCCCCCCTCCTCCGTCCAGGCTAATTGCCACTGTCCTCTGGGAGATTAAAGCAGGTCGGGGTGATTGTAAAGGAAACGAGACCTTTGGGAGCCAGTGGAGGATGTAAAGGATCCCGGCGCTCCAGCTGACCCATTTCCTGTATTGTTGCTTGTGTCGACGTGCATCGTTACCTGAAGCCTGGGACGCGCCTGCGTAGCCCGGGAACACGCGCTCGGCCGTAGACACACACGCGGTGCCCCGGCCTCTTTCCTGTGAGCGCTGAGAGACCGGCCTGCTGGGTCTTGGGTCTCTTGCAGAGATGCGTGTTTTTGTTTCCATTCGAGCGGAGAACTTGCGTTTCCTCTCCGGGTAGTCGGACCGGACACGCTCGGGGTGTGGAGGACGGGAGGCTGAGGCTGTTTCTGCTGCGGCCCGTACAGGCCTTGGCTCCCGGGGGGTAAGCGCGTGCTCTGCTGCATGAGAGACCAGCAGGTCCAGGATCAGTCTGTCCGATAGTGGCTTTCAAAAGGAAAACCTCTCTGTTAGGTCCAACAAGGCAGTTTGCCCCAGAGAGCGGGTTGTTTACAGCTGCTTTTATTGAAACACCGTGGATGAAAGTGTCTCAAGTCAGCCAAGTTTTTAGTCTAAAAAAGAAAACAATAATTTTTATCAAATTAAACATTTTCAATCCATTGTTTCACCGTTTCAGTTTGGTTTCAAGTTGTACTTGGCCAGTCCAGTATCAATATTAAGTATTTATTCTATTGGTTTATTTGATACGGAACAGTGCACAATAATAAAAAAGATTTCTGTAAATGAGCCAGTTAGCTAAAAGGCAGATGTTGTAAAATAAACCTAAAAACAGGAGATACAATTAAATCTATAAAATATTGACGCTTTACAATGCAAAAGTCGACACACACAAAGCAAATGAAATGAGGGATTGTTGTTAAGAACAACAAGAAGTGACGTATACGCTAGGAGACGCAATCTTCGACAGACACACAAGTCACCACATCCAGAAGTAGAGCGGTCCAACACATCCAGAAGTAGAGCGGTCCAACACAGACAGAAGTAGAGCGGTCCAACACATCCAGAAGTAGAGCGGTCCAACACAGACAGAAGTGCAGTTCTATTCCAGAGCTGATGGGTACTAACTAAGCGTCTCTTTAAATGAGCTGTTTGCCTTTTCAGGTGCAGGTTTTTGACCTACAGCTCAACTGTGAGTCCAGCAGGGGGCGCCACAGGGCTGGAGAACAGCTGTGTGTGAGTCTGTAGGCATCTTCCACCAACTTCTAATCTACAGTTTGGGGGCTTTAGATCTCCTGCATCAAGTTTCCAGATGTACTGTTGTATATTCAAATAACTTGGTCAGTACATGCAGCTGATTCAAATAATGTACTACTTCATAACCCCATTCAAACTTGTTATCTACTCTGCATTTTAAACGGCATGTTATGGCAAAGAAAAACTGCATTTTTCTGTGTGTGTGTGTGTGTGTGTGTGTGTGTGTGTGTGTGTGAGTGAGACCCTGCGGCAGGTCCATTTCATAACAGCTCACTGTTTGTGCGTGGCGGCGCCATGTTCCCTCTATCACCGAGAGGATCTGACACCAGCGCTGCTGCCTGTGCCCTAATCTGTTGAATCAGTGTGCAGCAGCCGTCCCTCGTAGCGCGGGGGGGAAACCGTCCTCTCAGACACACCAAGATAAATCACGGTGGATACGTGGAGGCCACTCTGAGTGATATTTGAAGCAACGCGGCTGGGAGAAGTGTTGGCACACTGGGAGTGCATTACCTCAGACCAGACAGGAGTGTCACAGACAGGGAGAAGAAAGAGGGCTTCAAGTGATGAGGAGACCGAGTGGGGAGGGAAGCAGGATGACAGGAGAAGTGGACGGGCGGAGGAGGGAGGTGCCGGCCCGCTGACAGTGTTTTCTTGGAGTTATGTAGATGTAATCCCTTCTGATGGGCAGGTTGAGCTGCCTGCTGAACGCTGAGGCACCGGCGAGGCTGTGAGCCTGCGCGCGCACACACACACACACACACACACACACTATGTGCTTGGTCAGCTCTGTGCACGTGTGTGCGTTGAGCCCCTTGTTGCTCACTGGCGAGGCTCGCCAAAGAGAGGAACAAAGGGGAGATTTTCCTTTTTCTTTAAGCGGCGATGGGGCCGGCCTGCAGAGGGAAGAGAGATGGATCTTCTCCAAATGCCACCGCGGGCGCTCTAACGCTCTCGCTTTGTTCCCCCCCCCGTAATTCTATTATGGAAATGGGGGATGGGTCCCCGCTTTCTTGCCTTCTCTTTGCTCCATCCTGGTTCCGAGTCTCCCGTCCCACACACGCTCACCAGAGAGTTTCTAGCACAAGAACACAGCGGTCAAATGGCCCCCTGGAGGCCTCCTACTGTGGCGTAGAAAGCGTTTTCCCTCTCCGTCACAGATATTTATCTGTGTCCCGAGTAGTTTTTAATTCATGTTGGCAGCATTTTGAGATTCTGTTCTTCACATTTATCAATCGGTCATTGTTTGCAAACCCGCAGCAGATTGAAATCATCCACGAGCCTCCGTTGCTATTGGGTTTGTCAGAGGGAGCGATGGGGTGGGGTGTTGTCTGGGCGGACCCTTAGGCCACGCAATGACTTGGTAAATATCCAGTAATGTTCACTTCGCTGGGACTGGCTTCGCTCTCCTTTGGGCAACACTTCACCCAGCGGCCCCCGGAGAGCCGCTAATCCCTCCACCCTGGGAACGACTCCAACTTACAGTCCCTTAAAATGTCTCGGTTTGTGCATTATTAGATGCTATGAATTACACATGGGGACGTACGGTTGGGGAAACATGGCAACTGGCAAACATGGCAGTGATAAATCTGAAATAATGAAACAAGGCTCTAAGTGGAACCAGGAGGGCCTCGCTGACC